CCCTGGGAGGACCACTATTTCACCTCTCTTGTCAGTATCTCCCAATCTCTTGCTTTCTTGTCTCCTGTGTCCAACAAAGACCAGCCTGCATCAGCCTCACCAATAGCCTCTCCATGCCCAATGGGAGGCTGGAGAAAGGGCCGATGGGAGGCTGGGAGAAAGGGTTCAGGGCCAATGGGAGGCTGGAGAAAGCCCACAGCACCCACATTCTCCAACCTCAGGAGGCCCTCACCCCTGCCCTGCAGCCTCTGTGGATCACTATTAGCCTTTTCTCTTCTTTTCCACAGCAGCCATATTGAACCTTTTCCTCTTTCTCCAAATTTCCCACCCCACCCCACCCTACCTCCTCACACTGAGCATATATCCTGGCTTATGACATCAGAGGAAAAGCAATGGCCATTGGGTGTGAACTCCCTCAATTTCCTGAGCCTACTTGCCTACATCCCCAACCCCTCTCTGCTGCTCCCTCTCCCATCTTAGAGGGAAAGTGGGTCCTCCTCCTGCTCGAGGCATGCCCCGAACCCTACCACTCCTTCCTTCAATCCTCTCCTTTATCTCCAACTGCCCCTCTACTGGCTTCTTCTCATTATTATTATTTCTTTTTTTTTGAGACAGAGTCTCAATTTGTTGCCCAGGCTAGAGTGAGTGCCGTGGCGTCAGCCTAGCTCACAGCAACCTCAAACTCCTGGGCTCAAGCGATCCTCCTGCCTCAGCCTCCCGAGTAGCTGGGACTACAGACATGTGCCACCATGCCCGGCTGACTTTTTGTATATATTTTTAGTTGGCCAATTAATTTCTTTCTATTTATAGTAGAGGCGGGGTCTCGCTCTTGCTCAGGCTGGTTTCAAACTCCTGAAGAACTCGAGCAATCCGCCTGCCTCGGCCTCCCAGAGAGCTAGGACTACAGGCGTGAGCCACCGCGCCCGGCCCCCATTATTATTTTTAAATGGCCCAATCTCTCCCGATTTAAAACAAAATTGTTCCTCAACTTACATTCTTTCTGGTTTTCTCTCTTCTCCCCTTCAAAAACAATCTACCCCCAAGAGTTGTCTACATCTACTCCCATTCACTCAGACCTATGCCCTTGCTACTCCACTGACCTTCACCTCTCCAAGGTCATCAGTGAGCTCTTTGTTGCTAAATTTGGTGTTTGTTTTTTCAGACCTTGGCTTGTCTGCACCATGTCACCCCACTTCCTCTCTTTGGCTTCTGTGGCACGTCATTCTGTGATTTTCCTCCAATCTTTCACCTTTTCTTCTGGGCTCCTCTTCCTCTACTTGTCCCCTACATGTTGGTATTTCCCAAGGAACTTTGCTCTTTTCTTTGACCCTCTCTATTGAAGGATTTCATTCATTCCCGTGGCTTTAATTATGATTTATAAGCTGATAATTTGATAACTTATCACTGTATCTCCTGACCAGGTCTTTTTCATAAGCTCCAAACCTCCTACTAGACATCTCATCTGGTCATACAACATTCAACTCATCTCCCCCTTCCTGACTATTCCATGTCTCAGTGTAGGGCACCATCATCCATCCACCTACTTACCCATGGCAGTGACTCAGGCATAAGCTTTGACTTGCCCACTCTCCATGCCCTCAGCTCTTCACTCACAAAGTCCTCTGAATATTCACTTCCTTAACATAGTATTTTTTGGATCCACCCCTGTTTTCCACCTGCTACACTGGATCACTGTGGTGGCTTCCCAATCCACATCCCAGCCTCATCTTTTCCTGGCCAGGCCATTCTCCAAAAACTCCCTAAACCTTTTCAAATTGTGCATTTTCTTAAAAGCCTCCACTATCTTTAGATTAAAGTTATATCCTCAGCCTAGTAGTATACTAGGCTCTTCAAGACCCAGCCCTGGTCAATCACTCCAACCCCTCAGAGTCTGAGATGGTAGTTAATCCCCTCTTTACTTAATTAGAAGACCTATGGAACTTCACTGAGACCTTCCCCCCCCTCCACTAAGAAGGTAGGAGGCTAGCACAATTTTCCCCTGGAATCTTTCACAACATATTATAGCTTCTAAGTATCTAGAATTCCATTCATTCCTTTAGAGTTCTGTGCCCTAAAACCACCCCTAAAAAATGACAAAACAAATATATTCAGCATTTTCTCATATGAGTCAGGCCCTTTATCTCATTTTATCCTCACAACCCTGAGGAATACATCATTTCCATTTCACAAATGAGAAAACTGAGATCCAGAAAGATTAAATATTAAACAACCTAGCCAAAGTCATAAAACTATGAAGAGCAGGAATGGGGATTTTAACTCAGATTACCTAGGACATTACCTCTTGCCTGTTTATTTGTAGTCGAACCAATTTCTGGTAATCCAAGATTTTAAAATGTGGAAAGAGACTACAGTTTTATAAATGCTTAATATTTCTGAAGTACTTTACATAAGACATCTCATTTATCCCTTACTACATTTTCAAATAAGCAAACTGTAGATCCAAGAAGGTAATTTGTGCAAGCTCACACAGCTAGTAAATAGGTTTGAATTTCTCCACCCTACCCTTCTTAGTAACCCCCTAACACTAATAAATAGCATTTTACAACTGAAGAAACAGGTCTAGCCCAGGGTTGCACATCTAATCAGAAGCAAAGTCAGGATTAGAACCCAGGTTTCCTTACTCTACTTGGTTGGACAGGTGCTATGTTAGTCCCTAAGTTCTGGAAGAATTGTGGAATCCTGATTTTTTTCCTATTTATAACAGTTTACTTCTGAAGGGCTAAACTGACCTCCAAAGGGTTTCAGCACTGACTCCAGGCAGGCTTCTTTGGTAGCCCTCTGACAATACTCTGCTGATACTCTGCCAATGCCTGACTGGTCGCATGGTCCTCTCCCGACCTGCTTTGCCAACAGCCTCTGCTCTCACTGCCTCCACAGAATGAGGCACTCTGTGTTAGCACACATCCCATTCCCCCTGCCTCCTTGCAGTTTTCTCATCTTCAGTAATGAGGCCCCATCTGTTCACCCAGCTCCAGTTGCCTTCCCTCTTGGTTTAGCCAGGATCAAAGCCCCTCTGCCATGCCTCTTAGAAGTCCTGTTAGTTCTTCCCTAAATGCCATCTGTTTTACTCATTCCCCCATCCTAGCCATCCCTCCCTGGATGTTACCAACTCAAGGATGACAGGGCTGCTTTCTCTCAGGCTCTGTCTCTTTGGTTTGAATTAGGTTCAGGTTAATAATCCCCCTGGTTACTTCCTTTTTGGTCATGAATTAATTATTCCCATATATTAATGCATTCTCCCCAGACTGTTGGAGGAGGAGGTGACAACAGAAACGTGTGAATTAATCAGACCATCTAGCCAACACTAAAATGTTTAGTGGGGAAAGGCTCAGGAAAGATGCTACCTAGGAAGGTGGAACATCACAAATGGGGCTCTATAATGCTGAGCAAAAGGTTAAAAGAAAGGCAGGAATTCCAGGCTGTCTTACTTCATAACTGACAGGGGCAGCAGATCTTTCCCAGAAAGGGAGTGGGAGGTAGGGCATTTAGGCACAGGAAGAAGTAGGGCCAACAGCTCGAAATAGAGGAACATGAAGAACTGATGACATTTAGGGGAGCATTGACAGGAATAACAGCTATGAATCTAACAATCCCTAGCATTGTAGGATTGGAAAGGCCCTCAGAGCATTCAGGTAAAATTCCAACCCACTGTACAAATGACATAAACATTTCTTCAAGGGAATAACATCCCTCTAGTTGAACACCTCTGACAATGGGAAATGCGCAACCTTGGGAAATCAAGATTTTGGAAGTATATGTGAATGAGGTTCAATTGAACTTCAATTCATTTTCAATTCAACAAATATCGACATCTCAATATCTATTAAGTGCCTACTATGTGCCAGACACTATAGGCACTGGGCTGTGTGAATACTATAAGACATAGCCCCTACTCTATGAATCTTATAATCTAACGAGGAAGATGGGTACATAAACGTGCAAGTAGAATAGGGAAAATAGAGGGTGCTGCTCAAACACAGGGTAGGAAGCCTAACAGAGCCAGGCATCTAGGAAGTCTTCACAAAACAGGCTGCATCTAGGCTGGGGCTTGAAGGGTGCTGAGGGGTTAGCTGAGGGCAAGTTGGAGCGACCCACGGGAGTGAGAGAAAACGGGTGCTTAAGATTTCCCAGCTTCCAAAGAAATTCAGAGTGTTGCAAGAAGAAGGTGGAGTCCAGATATCGACGAGCCTTTCCAGCCATGCAGTGGGGTGTGGGCTTAATTCCAGGGGCAGTGAGAAGCCTGTGAAAGGTTTCAGGCAGGAGAAGCGCCCTCTATCTGCTACGTGGTGGGGAGATGCTGCGGTATACGGGGGTGGTTTGAAGGAGGCCAGGACCTGAGATGGGAAGGCCCTGGTGGCACAAGGGATGACCAAAAGTAATGCGCTCCTCTATAACAAGATCGAGACAAAACCAAAGTGATAAAGTTCCTCCCTCACCTTTCCTGGGCAGGAACCAAAGCGGCCATCCCTACGTTTGCCCCATCACAGCCAGGTGTGGTCAAGGGGATGGCTCCTTGCCCCTCTTCCCAGATAGGAAAGCTGAGGCCCAGGGTCCCGCGTTAAAAATCGAGGAGAAAAAAAAAAAATCGAAATGGCCTCCCAAGAAGCTGCCCGAAGTCTCGCACGATCCTTCGAGGGTCCTGCGGCCTGCCCCACTTCTCTGCCAACCATCCCCAACGGGCCTTCTTTGCTATGGAAACTGTCCTCCCGCCCTCCTCCGCGCCTCCATTTCTCCAATGGACCCTGGGAAATGCAGTGCGCCTCCGCCGGCCTGCCCGCGGCACGAGCCCACTCCTCGTCCTTAGAGGACTACAAGTTCCAGGAGGCCGTGCGAAAACGCCGGCCGTCTCTGGGGGATGTGGTCTTGACGGAGAGACCCAGGAACCAGCGGGCGGGGCCGCAGAGAGAGGGGACGACGCTCCCAATGGGCAGCCTTCTGGGCGGGGCCCGGGTCGCCATTGGCTACGGCGGCGCGGGGGAGGCGGGGCGGAGGAATGAAGCGCGGAGCTGTTCGCCGCTCCAGGTGCTGAGTCCGAGGGAGGCTCCGGATGCGAGAGCCGCGGTCTCCGCTGCAGCTGCCGCCGCCGCCGCCGCAGCCTCAGCCGCCGCAAGAGCCGGAGCTGTGAGGAGCCGGGACCGTGAGGAGCCGGGAGGAGCTGGGTGCGCTGCCGGGCGCTGACCGCCCTCCCGACCGCCGTCAGAGGTCGGTGCTGCTGAATTCGCTTTTGTTTTATTGGGGAGGGGCTGGACTGAGGCGCGAGGGGACCTGGGGAGTTGATGGTGGGACCTGTTCTCGCTGCTCTCTAGACCATCTGTCCCGGACAGCTGCTGACTGCCCCCAGGCCTCCCGTGGCCCGGCGCCTAAGGTCGGAGCAGCTTGGGTTCGTTTTTGCTTTGTGGTGGAGAGAGCTCTTGAGCGTGAGGGGCGAGGGCTGGGGGACCCCCGTCTCTCCTGGAAGAGCGTTCACGCTGGGAGCCTCCCTCCCCCGGTGCCTGGGGACGAGGCTGCTGGATTACAGTGCATGGGAGGGGTGTTCTGGGATGGGAGGTTCAGAGGCGGGGGGGCCCTTCCCCACAACACCTCGGCTGCTTGAGCTTACAAAGGGGTCTGCTGGTGATGGATGAGATCGCGGACTCCTCCCCTCACTCAGACCCTCCTGGGGTTATTGAGCAAGGGCTGTTGGGGGCTAAGGAAGACCCTTCCCCATGCCTCCTCCGCCTGCAGCCTAGGGTTCTGTCGAGAGGAGGATGGAGGATAAGGATGGAGATGGAGGACTCTTATCCCTCCCACTTGGACCCTCCTAGGTTACTGGGGGAAGGGACTGGAATATGAGGAGGAAAGGGCTGAGAGACCACTCCCCACGTTGCTCGGAGTCACGGGTAAAGGAAAGCACTGACTGCGCTCGGAATCCTCTGCTCTCGTCCTGCGCCTAAGATCGGAGTGGCCTGGGTGTGGGAGGTTGTGGGGGTTAGTAAGAGGAGCTGAGGGACTCCTCCCCACCTCTCTCCACCCGGACCTCATCTGCCAGGCCCTCTCTGCCTGGACCCAGGCCAAGGGATCCGACTATGAGTCGAGAGGACCCTCCCTACCCCACCACGCCTCGGGACCGGGACCGCAGCGGGAGACCAGCCCCAGACGGGCATGGGCGGGGCGGGACAGGGCAGGTCCCCTCTCAAGCACATAGGAGCTCCAGGCAGACGCCCCCCACACCTGCAGATTCCCGGGTGCTGCTCCGCTCCGTGCAGGGCACACCCCAAGTCCGGGCATTGGGACCTGGGTCTGGGACGCGCGGAGGCAGTTTTGGGCGCGGGGCTTTCGCGCTTGGCACAGGCATCCGCGAGAGGACAAAGCGGCGGTCGCCGCACTGGCAGGCCTGCGCCGCGGGCTGGGCGGGGGGCGCGGCCAGGGGAGGGGGGGCTTCGGGCGCGGCGCGGGTAGCTTCCACGGAAACGTGCCAGGAGCAGGGCGGGAGACAAAGCGCTCTTGCTCCTCACCGGCCAGCGCAAGCTGGGATGGAAAATCCCGGGGAAGCGGCAGCGGAGCCGGAGCAGGGCACTATGCCCCACACCCTTCTCTTTTCCTGAACCCTCTACACTAAGGCTAACCCAGTACCCGGGGTTCCGTGTGCCCCATGACGACCAGGGCCCCTTCTGGGGGGGATTCAGGACCTGTGGCCACGAGGACAGGGCACAGGCGGGGACTCCACCTTGTGCGGAGGGACTGGAGCTCAAGGGACATGAGTGGGCCAGGGACTGGAGGGGCATCCTGACTGGACCTTCCCACACCCCATCAGCCATACTAGGTCAAATTTGGTTCTGGGACAGGGATGTGTTTAAGTGTGTGAGGGTTTGCACAGGTGATGGTGCAGGTCAGAGTGTGGGTGTGAATGCATGTGCTCCAGTGTTCGTGTGTGTCATGGCTGTGTGTGTGTGTGTGTATGTGGAGATAGCAACCATTTATTGCTGGGCTTTGATGTTGGGAGGATCAGTGTAGTCACCCCTTAGACTCTCAAGCCACAGTAATGCCCTAGGGTCGGAGTGATGTCCTCAGGGCGGAGGCAGCTTCAGGCTGCCTTGCATTTATCCTGCATACCTGGGTATTCACAAGTATGTGGAGCTTTCTTCAGCCCTTCCTCAGGTCTGACCCTAAGAGACTCTCCAGTCCCCTGCCCTGCCCTCAGAAACTATGTCCTGATACACTGGGGTGCCCTGAGGACCAGAATTCTGCCCCCTCCCCCACCAGCTGCCAAGTGAGGTTTTGGGGGGATCGTGGACAGAATCATTTATGATGTGAGTTGAAGATTGTGTGGCAAGGCAACTTTTGTCACTTTGGCCTCCATGTCTGGAAGGGCCATGGGGCTAAGGTTGCTGGTCAGTCGCAGATGGTGTCTCAGAAATACTAGTACACTCAGAGAGAGGACATGAGGGTAACCGAGATATCACTACAGGGTAATGCCACTAGAGGATGAGCACAGCCCTCCCAGAGCTGTCCACCCCCAGCAAGTGACTCCAATTTCACAGCACTTTTATAGCAAAGGTACTGTGTGGATTCGAGATAATCTCCACAGAGCTCTCCTTCCCATTGAATGAGGGGTTAGATTGTGGCTAGCAGAACAACAAAAAGAGCAGGTACCAGACAGTGGAGCTACCATCCATCCAGCCCAGCCTGCCTGGTCCGGTCCTCACAAGTATCCATTGTCAGTATCGACAGCGACCTCTGCTGGGAGGAAGTTAAGCCACGGTGCAATTTGGCAACTAACACTTCCCCATGGTGGGCTCAGAGTGAGTGTGGGCATTGTTAGGTAATACCACAAACCTTTCCATCTGGGGGTTCCCCGCCTACCTTCAGAGTCCTGAGTTGATGTTCTTCTCTGCAATTTCTTTAGGCTAGTTCAAGCAGTAGAACTGCTGCTGTCTTTGCCCCTGTGGAAATGTTTAAAGGCAGCCTGAAGGCCTTTGTTCAAGTTTCTGTCCATTTGAGGGTGGGCATCAAATCCATTTTTGATGACAATGCATGGAAAACATTTATCAAGCTCAGGGAAGTTCAGGCATCTTTCTGGTCTCGCCCTCTACTTCTAATATTGCCTTCCCCCCTTTCCTATTCCATGTTTATCCTCTTCTCTTTCTTATTATTATATTAGTCAATAACATATTTTTCAGAGACCCTCTTTTCCTCAATAACAATATGGCCCAGAAAGTACAGATATCGGGAGGCTATTACTAAAAGCAAAAATCTGGCAAACACTGGCTCTTCCAATCCTAATGACAGGAGTGAGGGAGATGGATGAGACATAGTGAGTCCTAAATGCCCACCTGGTGACATGTGTCTCTTCTTCTGGAGTTACTCTGAAGGGATTTCATGCAGTCACAAAATCTTTAGAGCTCCTCAAAGGAAAAAAGGTATTTAAATACCTGGTATTGTTCTTACTTTGGCATCCATGTGATTTGCATTGAACTACGTGACTCAGTATCATAAAGTAAAAATAGGACTTAATCTCTTCCTTGCCTGTTCGGAAGGTGACTGCATATGGTGTGTTGTGCTCTGCATTGGAGAGTGAAAAGCTAAATTACCTCATAAATTGAACCACCTGCTTATTCTGATTAGAGAATGGTGCTTAACATCACCTACGGGCAATAACATTATTTTATGTTTCTTTTAGTTCATACCTGAATCTTTGTCTTGTAAAACATTTCCTCATGTCCATCCATTATTACTTTTACTTGAAATTAATCAAGAATGTTTAATCCTTGTACTGAAGCCAAACAAATTAAATATCAGCAGATACAGGAAGATGTGGGTGGTGTTTCTGTTCTTTTTGGGCTCAAAAAAAAAATTCTTGGAGTTCATAGGAAAGAAGAAAAGGGCCTTAAGATGCAGTAAATCTTGTGGGTGGAGTTACAGCTTTCTGACGAGAGGCTCCTTAGAAATTTCCAGGAGGGCTGGTCATGTTGAAGAATCTGAACATGCATGCAAGTGGCAACGTGCTGGGAGTGAGACTGCAGTCCCTGGGATTCCTAAATCCCTGCATTAATGCAGCCTTTCTGGGAAATTTTTCCAAGTCCCTCCTGCTTCCTCAGGCTGCCAACTGAGTTGCTAAGAAGTGGAGCTGTCCAAGGTTCTGGAGAACTGGCCTCAGCCCCCCTGTTGGGGAGGGAGGACTTTAGGGCATGGAGCAGAAGCAAGAGCTGAGGGCCATGGCCTCTGTGAGAATTTCCTCAAAGCTGATCACAGAAAAAAACAACATGAAAAGGGCTGTGGAGGCAATCCTGTATAAAGAATTACGAGCTAATAATAAGAGGAAAATTTTCTTGAGTCAGGCTCTTCACATGCAAGAATGTATTTAATCTTCACAGTCCTATGAGGTAGGTGGTGGTGTTATTCCCACTTTCAAGATGAGGAAACAAAGCTTTGAGAGGAAAAGGGATCTCCCAAGGTCATACAGAAAGGGCAGCGTTTAGGTTCCATCCTTAAACTCCAGAACCTCTTCCTTACCACTATTTTTTCTCGATTGCTATTATAGAAACAAAATTGAAGCACTGGAGTGTCCTATATAAGGCTCTAGTATTCTAGAGGCATTTGGGACCGACTAGGATTCAGACACAAATCACAAAGTCTTTTCAAGCTGAGCAAGGATAGTACCACCCACTTTACATCTTATTCTGGCAAAAGGTTTGTTACCCAAACTTGGGTTACTAAAGAAGGAAGAGGGCAGTGTAATGATCCTCATAACCAATAGCTCAGGCTTTTTGTTTCCAGAGTGGAAAATTTTCACAGGAAGCCAAGCCTGGATGGCAGCAAAGTATTGTTGTTGGTTTTTTTTCCCCCCCTTTTTAAGAAAGGAAGGAAATAAATGCCCTATGAGGAGACTATTATTATTTGACAAAGAGTGCACATAGAGCTAAAGAAATAGGGCTTATCATTATTTTCTAGCATCCTATTTGAAAGCTGAAGACATCTGGATATTATTAAAAGATTCCCTCTACCTATTCCCATTCTCAGATTTTCACAGGAAAACATCTAACACTTAAATAAAAGTTTCACTGTTGTGGGCCTTAGCATCACATTCCTATCCTTATGTCATCCCAGCCAAAGCTCTACCTTCATATGTGGCTGCAAGACTCCTGAGGGTGGACAGGTTTGGGGCTTGGTGGACTTCAGACTGCATGTCCTCTGGTCCTCCTAAGATGGCCCCAATCTTGCCACACACACAGGGGCCTGTTCCTGAGAACTCCCCATTCAGTAACTATAGGTTTGGGTATCTAAAGGGGTTAGAGAGGAATAGACTTGTGCTTTTTCTCCTCTCCCTGGGCCTCAGTCTGCACAATACCCAGAAAGGCAGCCTGGCCTTTTAAGAAAATGCCTCTGGCCAGGCATGGTGGCTCATGCCTGTAATCCTAGCACTCTGGGAGGCCAAGGGGGAAGGATTGCTTGAGCTCAGGATTTCGAGAGCAGCCTGAGCAAGAGTGAGACTCCGTCTCTACTAAAAATAGAAAGAAATTAGCCAAACAAAAATAGAAAAAATTAGCTGGGCACGGTGGCATGTGCCTGTAGTCCCAGCTATCTGGGAGGCTGAGACAGAAGGATTGCTTGAGCCCAGGACTTTGAGGTTGCTGTGAGCTAGGCTGGTGCCACAGTACTCTAGCCCAGGCAAGAGAGTAAGACTCTGTCTCAAAACAAAAAAAAAAACAAAAAAAAAAGAAGAAAGAAAGAAAAAAAGAAAATGCCTCACATCAAACGGGGTCTCCATTCCCTTTTGAGTGATTCCCTCCCTTCCAGGCTGGGGCTTTGCAAAGCTCTGACGAAAGGAGCAAAGGCTGCTATTGCTTTTCCCGAGGGCACTTGCAGGCCAAGGACCCGGTTCCCCATCTGGGTCTGCTCTGACTCATATGACCGCAGACAGATTTGATTGTTTTCTTATTTAGAGTCATTAATTAACTCTCCTCAGCATCAGAACAGTATGTAATAGGAGGGAGGCCATTTGTGAGGGTCTCTATGCAGCCATGCCCAGGGCTGAGTACCATCTCCTTTGCTAATAGGATCAGGAAATGGTTTTAATCCTGGCTATAACCCTTCAAAAAGCTTAGATTGTCAAGATTTCAGTCCAATATGAGAAAGGAAACAAAATTAATTGCTAAGGCTGCTATAGTTATTCTGGCAAAAAGTGGGAGGCCCAGGGATCCCTCAAAGGAAGACTGGATTTTAAGTCATTCAACAAACATTTCTTGTGCCTGCAATGTGCCAGTCACAGAATGGGGCATGGGACACAACCCCAACATGGAATAAGTCCTGTCATATAGAAATCTTGAAAGGAATGAGGAAACAAATGTAGAACCCCTAAAAAGGGTGTGTGCTATAACTAGAGTTTTAGAAATGGAAAAACCCTTAATAATCATAATCCATGATGTCTCTTGTAAGACGATGAAAGAGGACCAGGGAAGTGGAGGGTTGCTTTGGCCACAGCCCTGATTAGCAGCAAAGATGGGGCTTAGAACCCGTGTTCTATAATGCCTAAATCATGTTCTTTCCACTGTCCTAAATGGTTGCTCTGTTCATGAAATTATCTAAAGGCATATTTCATTAACATAGCCTTCTTTGACCCAACATAAACCCAAATTTAAAATTGAAGTAGAAACAAATAGATAAAATAGAACAAATAAAATGTCCATCTATATCTGTGTTGTCAAATATGGTAGCTGCTGGCCACATGTGACCATTGAGCACTTGAAATGTGGCTAGTCCCAACTGAAATTTGCTGTAAGTATAAAATGTTAACCAGATTTCAAAAAATTAGTATGAAAAAAGAATGTAAAATATCTCAATGATAATATTGACTCCATTCTGAAATAATATTTTGGATATATTAGTTAAATAAAATATATTATTAAAATTAATTATACTTATATCTTTCTACTTTTTTAATGTGGCCACTAGAAAATCTGTAAGTGTATATGTGCCTTACATTTATAACTCACATTATATTCCTACTGGACAGCGTTATTCTAGAGTGTTTCCATTTAGGGAGACATTTTCTTTATAAACTGAGGCATTTAGCAAAGTAGGTCTGTAATCAATTAATCTGGGGTTGAATCCTGGCTCTGTCATTTGGGCTGTGTGACCTTGAGCAAGTCATGCTTCTGTTTTCTCCCCTGCGAAATGGGGATGATAATAGAGCCTGCCTCCTACGTTATAAGCTAAATCACATAGAACAGTGACTGGTCCACAGTGAGTGTTCACTTAATGTTAACTATTGTTATCAACAGAAGAGGCTCATACAATTTTACAAGATGGGGCAACAAGGCAGGAGAACAAGCGGACAATTTTCAGATAAATCAAGCAAAAAAGATTACTAGTTCTACACATACAACCAGGAGTTAAAAAAAAAAAAAGATTACTAGTTAAAGCATGATTGAAAACACTTGCTAAGTATAAACTCATGTATTACCATGATGTGGCCCCTATTTTCAGGCAGATAATGATTCTGAGGAAAGATATCAAGCCATTTACATAGCAACAATAAACAAATTAGCTAACTGCATTATGCACAGGTCTTGACTTCTGCTAACAGGTTGAGGAAGAGGATGATTAGAGGGTACTTGTACCAGATAACTCAAAACCTCTAAGTCTCTTAGACTCCAAGATTCCTCAAGGAAATGAGAGCCTTGTGCTCTGGGAGAAAGATTCTAGACAGGAATCAGACATACCCAAGGTCAAAGCCACTCATTGGACTTAGTCAAGACACTGAGTCTCAGTTTCCTCTTCTGTAAAATGGAGACAGTACCAACTCTCACAGCTTGCTGTGAAGATTAGATATTGAAAATAAAATATCTGGTAAAGAGTAGGCACTCAACAAATAGTAGTTATGACTAATGGGATTTCAGGTGTTTTTTAATAGAGAACTCTCTGTTCTTTAATAGAGAATTTG